CCGCCCCTGGCAAGTCACACAGTCTATAAAGAGTCTAAAGACGCTGTTTACATGAACTGTAGCAAGGCAAGTGTCTCCCCAAAGCTCCAACTGAGAAGACACAAGCTCCTGCCCCAGTCAACTCTACAGGAGCAAGCACATTTCATTTTATATAGACTGTCTTTTAGGCTGTAATTGGATTTAGAATTTTTTATAGAGTTTACTTTAGGAGTGACAGTGGTGCGGTTAGTTAAGCATTCACCAATAAACCAGAGCACACGATCCACACATGAGCACTAACTCAGACGTGTTATATATGTAGCTGGTGGAGACCCCAGCCTTCAAAAGAGTACTGTGAGACAATATGTGCTTTCTCACATTTTAAATTGTAATCTATTATTTAAAGCTACACGATGTAATTTTTATGTTGGATGCTTGTCTCACAATGCATGATGAGCTTTACTCGACTTGAGGTTTACTCGACGGTTGGCGGTAGACAGAATTTTCATTCACGCTCCTGCCTGCACCCGCAAAGAATTGTAATTTTCATTCCCGTTTCCACCCGCATCTGTGATAGTTTGTCCCGCTCCCACCCGCAAGTCCTGCAGGATGGGGACGTTCGCTTTCTTAACCTCTATCAAACACGTAGAAGTGGAAATGAATTGTTTAAAATGTGCACGAGATTAGACCACATCTGCAAGTTTAGGCCGCTTAAAATGTTTTTATTAATGCCACATAAAATATCCAGCCCAAATTATGTAAGATAGGTATATTTAACTTGACACTCACATTTAGACTGCAGTTTATCTTCCTAGCTGCCCGTTCCCGCATTGTGCAGTCCCACACCGCACTGTTTTGCATCACCAGCGGGACCCGACGCAAAACAGTGCAGGGCTCTAGTTGGCGGTTAGAATCCTGCTCTCCACTGACCTAAAGGTTGGCGGTGCAATTCAGCTGTTGTGTCCTTATGCTATATTAAGATTACAACTTAAGTCTTTTGTATTCATTGCACTTTGAATAACTTAATTTATGAACTGAGCTATACAAATACATTTGCCTAACTGAACACATCCTAACCAGGCTACGTTTATATGATGACGGTCTGAACAGAAGATGCAAAAGTGGCGTCACGTCTTCACTTTTTATTCCGCGTTTAGACAAGCGTTTTCAGGAGGAAATCTGCATGCATGTGGTGACGCAAAAGTGTGTGAAGTTTGATCGGGTATGCATGCCATCCGACATGATTCTGTGTGCTGTATGTATGTGACGTAAAGGCGTACGCGATGTGAGCAGATCTGACCAGAGTTTTGCGTCTTGGGCAGTGTAGACGGAAACGCTACGGCGGACGTATTCAGATTTTTGCATTTTTAAGCCCCAAAAACATTGTCACCGTCTAAACGAAAGGCACTTCCGATAAAATATTTTGTTGTTTTTACATTCTCGTGTAAACAGGCCCTTCGTCTAAAGCCATACTGTACATTCAAGGGTTCAAATACATCATGACGACAAGCAGGTGGCAGACCCCTCAGCACAAAAGTTACATAGTGCACCTTTAAAGTTGGCATTTGTAAGTGCCTATTAGGTCTCCCAAGTACACTATCTATTTTAAAAGGATTTGCTGTTGTTAATGTTGTTCCCCAGTTATTGCAGAGACAGTTTTGTGTATAAAGTGTGAAGGGTGTGTGCCCGCAGGTCCTTGTTTGGGCTCATATTAGTTGACGTCTTTATTTGTTGTTGGCTTATTTCCCAGATGTCGTTGTGTTTTTGTGTCCTGATGGCACTTTAAAGTTTCAAGACTTCTGGAAAAAAATAACAATAAATGAGATGAGTCATTTTAATGGACGCATTTGGCCTGTACATGAAATTGTATGCTATAGTTTTGTATGAGAAAGTGGACTGTAATGAGATACTTTCACCATGGTATCTGATATGAAGTTGTAGTAATAGTAGTAGTAGTTGTCCCTTGCAGGTGTTTGTGGTTTGATGGGAAATTGGGCCCTGGGCTGAAGGATCCAACAACTTCTGCAGTACATCAAGCAAACATATGTCAGTAGTAGTAGTAGTAGTAGTAGTAGTAGTAGTAGTAGTAGGTAGTAGGAGTAGGAGAGTAGTAGGAGTAGTAGTAGGAGTAGTGGTAGTAGTAGTAGGAAAAGTAGGAGTATTAGTAGTAGGAGTAGTGGTAGTAGGAGTAGTAGGAGTAGTGGTAATAGGAGTAGTAGGAGTAGTAGGAGAAGGAGTAATAGTAGTGGTAGTAGTAGTAGGAGTAGTAGTAGTAGTAGTCGTGGTAGTAGTAGTAGTTGTAATAGTAGTGGGAGTAGTAGTAGGAGTAGGAGTAAAAGTAGTGGTAGGAGTAGTAGTATAGTAGTAGTGGTCTAGTAGTAGTAGGAGTAGTGGTAGGAGTAGTAGGAGTAGGAGTATAATAGTAGTGGTCATAGTAGTTGTAGGAGTAGTAATAGGAGTAGTAGAAGTAGGAGTACTGGTAGTAGTAGGAGGAGGAGTAGGAGTAGTAGTGGTAGTAGTAGTAGTAGTTGCAGTGGAAGTAGGAGGAGTAGGAGTAGAAGTTGCAGTACTAGTACTACAGGTTGCAGTAGTATTAGCTCATGCTGGTTTTAGTGGAAGTAGTAGCAGTAATAGTAGCATTTCCAGTGGTTGTAATAGTCAGGCCCGTCGACAGCAATTTGGAGGCCAAGGGCAAGAAGAATCACATGGACCCCCCTCGAATATAAAATGGTATGAAGAGGGTCCAATTGTAGCCCCCTTAAACCCTGGGGCCTGGGTCAACAGATCCTTTTACCCCCTCCTGTCTTCTGCCCTGGTAATAACTGTCATTGTAGAAATAAATGTGAAAAAACGATCAGGTACACACACACAGGAAGAGTGCAGTACAGTATATAGAAGTCAGGCAGGCAGTTATTTCCATTGACACATACAGATGAAGTAAAGTTTCTTCTGATCTCATCACTAAGTAGATCCCTGTTGGTTGGTGCGGCGGTGAGATGTGAGCTCAGAGACTCCTCCAGATGTTGTACAGTGGAGCTGATTGGACGGGGCTCCTCCGGCTCTGCCTGACACCAGCTGTGCCTCTCCTCCTCGCTCACAGCAGCCCCTGGGCACTACACACACAAGCACTGTCGAACAATCCTCACTACAAGACTTCTCTTTCAATACTACCAGCTCCTGTTTAGTATGTTTAAACACAGTTACAGCAGCTTTAAAAAGGCACATAGCCAGCAGGAATGAATTGTAAAAGAATACTCTACGATCAGCCGTAACTTCATGCTAGTTCATGACATCTCTTTATCATGACATCTGTTTCCACGATTAGGCGCATGTGAACATTTCAGTAGTGGTGACAGAAGCCATAAAATATATACAGATTTGAACAAATTGATGAGGTGCACAGTTTATATCATGCATGTATTCACAGTAGGTGTAGTAATGATGTACAGTATCTGTTTTGGTATTTTACACTTTTTTTGGATATTGGTCTGGAGTACCTAGCTGGAGGATTAGCCTACTGTGCATGTTTTGGGATAGTGGGAATGATAAGTGAAAGCTAGCTGTTATCCGCAACATTTTGACGATTCAAACAACAATAATACTTTGTTTTAAATTGTTAATTGACATGGCAACCTGACAAAAGACTGTATATATAAATGGACATAGATACGGTATAATCTAAGGGGCACATGTATATTCAACAGGCCATGTCTAAGAACGACTCTGAGGAAAACTGTGTATTAAGCAAAGGAGTTCAATTATGGAACAGTTACAGCAATGAGCTAAAACAAGCCACTTCTCTTTTTCAATTCAAAATAACTTTTTAAGAGAATAGCAATGGAAAAATATTTGAAAGAATAACAACAGTAAAGACATTTTAACTTTATCTGCCATGTGGTATTGAAAGCTTTGTACTTTCTGAGTGCCTCAGTTTTTTCAACTTTGTATTTGAGAATGGTCCCTACACTGAAGAGCACCAAAAGGACAATTCTGCATAATGTCTGTATATCCAAGTAGCACTCCTGCCCCCTAAAGTTTTGCAGAGTAAAGAGATTTTAGTTATAATTAGAAAAATTGTTGTTTTTTTTAATTATTATGATGTACTAAAATGTTGTATTAGTGTCATATTAATTTTGAGATGAACGTCCATCAACGTGCTGTAGTTGGAGATAAGGGTCGGCACAATAAGCTTTAACTTCTGCCTACACCTGGTCAGTGACTTACTTAGTATTTGATTTGATTGTTCTAAACACTGAATATATATATATGTGTTGTTGTTGTTGTTGTTTTTTTTATGACATCAGATTGAATATAATGTATGTAGACTGTAATAAATTATACAGTGACCAAATAAACACATGAATGAATGAACATAGCCACCAGATTCCAAACAGGAAGTGAACATGCTTGCACTTCCGACTCCATCAACTGTCCAATTCACTTTGTACTGAAAAATTGTCACACCTCTCTTCGTAACTGCTGCTGTCAGACTCGTCATTTTGGTCTTAAAATGTTTGTATTAACTCGCTCTTCATGATCCTGGTCTATTTTGTCTGTTATTCAAGTTATAATCAGTAAAAGCTGACAAATCAGACACCTTCTTTCCCTGAGGTCACTCTTGCTGGTGCACTGGTGTGGGTGGCCTTACTCCAGATTGGCTCTTTGGTTGCTATGGTACTCACGGTCAGAATTCCAAATTATGGAACTTGTCTCTTAATTTGCCCCTTTAAATGCCAGCCTTGATGAGCTTCATTTGACTGGAGCCGAACGCTAAGGGTGACGTCACACTCACTTACTGTAGTCCACTTCTTTGTTTATGATGGCAGTGGTGCATAGTGCTTTGCTGTTGGAAGATAACCACAATGTTTTGCCTGACCGTGTATAATATATTACCCTACTTTAGGCAATGACATTCACACTATGATCTATTGAAATGTCATTAAGTCCATGTTAGCGCTTAAATGCTTATCAATAAACACATAATTCACCCTGTTTTTGTATTTTTCTGTGTTTTTCCACAGCAACAAGAACAGGACCCTACCAACCTGTACATCTCCAACCTGCCCGTGTCCATGGACGAGCAGGAGCTGGAGAACATGCTGAAGCCTCTGGGTCATGTGATCTCCACGAGGATACTGAGGGACGCCAACGGGGTCAGCAGAGGGGTCGGCTTTGCAAGGTGGGGGCTTATTCTTACTTTTCGGATAATGGAGTTGTAGTATTTTAGAACATAAAATTATTTGGCATTGTTTGGTTTCACATCACGTCAGGGGCCTTGAGGGGGCACGATCCTCCTCTAAAATGGCCAATGCACCCTCATAGCTCCTCCAGAGATTTTTGCCCCATATTCATAGCACATTCAGTCTCTACTAGAAATGTTCAAGTGGCAGCCACAGACTACAATAGAAAACAATTCCATATTTGGTTTTATAAATCACAGTCTATCTACAGTAGATATAAACTACATTAAAATAACAAAACAAACATATTATGGTAATTTTGAATCTAAACTGAATCTAATAGAGCTCCCCATGTACAGTTTTGTGAGGAGTTAAAGTAATTCACATTTTAAGGAATATGCATTGTTAATTATTGGAAATTATCAAAAGCTGCTTAAATAGTCTAAATTTAAAGGACTCATATTACTCTGTACAATGTTGTTTTGCTATCAAAAACATACCCAGAGTTTTGATTTGTTTCAACAAATCCTAAATACTTAGGATGAGTTCTTCTCTCAAACAGAAAACACTCTGTTCCACCTTGCGATGTCATGTGGTAATACACGAAGTGCTCACAAAAGTCAGTTGTGTGTAATATAGCAGTGGTCCCCAACCTTTTTTGCGCCAGGGGCTGGTTTTTATGTCCAACAGTATTTCACAGACCGGGGGTGGTGGTTAAATCCTGTTTTAGTCCTGTTTTAGTCCTGTTCTTAGGTCTGGTTTAGTTCAGGTTTAGTCCTGGTTTTAGTTCAGGTTTAGTCCTGGTTTTAGTTCTGGTTTAGTCCTGGTTTTAGTTCTGGTTTAGTCCTGGTTTTAGTACAGGTTTAGTCCTGGTTTTAGTTCTGGTTTAGAGGCGCAGGAAACTTGGAAGGAGGCACAGTCCGTGCAGCGTATGGAAGGGGTTTGTACCCATGGGACCTCTGTAATATAGGACCTTTAATTACCATTAATACAGGACCAGGAGATATGAACATTAAACATATTGTGGCAGTATTTTTCATTCAAAGCTGCCCGTGCCTCCATTGTAGGGAGTATTAGATTAGGTTAGATTAGATTAGTCTTCATTGTCTCCTTTATAGAGAAATATTTTTCCAACAAGAATAATAAAGGCTAATCCAATCTAATATAATACTCCCTACAACCACTCCACAAAGAAGTCAAGCAGGCCCAAACTGGAGGTGTTTGTGGTACAGCAATGTAATGGAAAATTTCCCAACATGCACAGTTTATAGTAATGTCTAAGCTCATATGAGCATGACAAACAAAACTGCTCCCACTGCACCCACAGTAAATAAGCTTAACAAATATTTAACAATATTTCTTCCAATTTTCTTCACCTTCTGTATATTTGTATGTGTTAAAATGTATACACTTGCACTGCCCTATCCAACATGGCCACACACGTATTCGGACACAGGCAATTACCCAGTACAGTAAGCCGGCTCGGGCTCATTCCTGCCACTGCGCATATCACTTAGCAATATATTTTTTTCTCCACTTAGAAAACTTTCCACTCCGCCTTGTTAATCCCCCAAGTCATAAAACCTGCTCTGTCCTTGTCCTCTACAGCAGCCACCATAACATAGACCTCCTCCAAATACCTCCCCGTGTGTACCCAGAGGAGTAAAAGTAGTAAAGGACTGTACTTAAAGGTACATTGTATAACTTTTTGGTTCAGGGTTCGTTGCCTCAGTGTTTCTATGGATATTTCATTGGTCTGCCTGAAATGTTCCACAATATGACATTAAACACCTCTCTCTTGTGTTTATTAGATTAGAGGTGGTTTTACTTTTTAATACATTTAATGAAACATTCCAGAAAAAGCAATAACATCACTATGAAGAAAAGTATTTCTCGGATCCTTCAACTTTGACTACTTCTTCCACCCCTGCAAACTACCACCATCTTTTCCCTGAATTCCCTGATCTGTTGCTAGGGATGGATTAATAACCAAAATATTGTGATACTGTATTGTCCCAGGTCTTGCAGTAATATCATGGACCATCACAATATATCAAATTACAAGTCTCTTCACTTAAATAGTTATGGTGCAGCAGTAGCTAAAAAAAACAGAGGGAATTACATAGACCTAGCCAGGCTGGCGCCACCTAGTGCCTCCGCTCAATTTAATTTCTCCAGCGAATAGGTCAGGAATCAGAATACACTAGACGGTTTGCAAGAACTTCAGAAGTTGTAGACCGCACACCAGCTAGTCAGCGAAAAACTGTGAAGCCATGACGTCAAACTCAAGCACCTGTCTGGGTCCCTTTGTGGTGCAGCACAACAGTAAACAAAGCGATCGAGATGGATGTAGACGAAGACAGACATTCTGTGTTGGCAACGATTCCCGAGATCAAGAATTTAAAGCCGCAACAAAGAGAATGTTCTTCCTACGGATTTGGTGCATTACATATGTCACAACCAAATAGCAGTGATTGGTTAAATAAAAAACGTACCCGCTTATCGTTGAGCAAACAAATCCTAATGCTGCAAGGTCAGACAGTTTCCACGAAGTGAAACTGGCTGATGAAACATCAACCACGATCCTTTGCCCGTTTTCAGTGCAAACATCATGAAGATATTACTGTTCTAAGCACTTTTAAATATTAGTTCTTAGTGGGTTAAGGCATTATCAAGGCATTTTAAGAGGAAAAAGTAATGTATTTAGTGTAATTTTGTTTGCCTCCACAAAATATTGTAATAAATATTGTATCGTGAGATGCATATTGTGAAAATATCATACAGATAGATTTGGATATCTTTCCATTCTTATATATTACTCCAGGTTAGAGCAGGACAGACCCCCACATGCATAATCTACACAAATGCTTTATGCACAAGTACACACCAGGCCGAGCTGAACCTCCCATGGACCTACAAGCAGAGCACAGCACCATCCTGCCACCCTGCCACCTGTTCCAGCGCGCATGATGGAGGTTTAGGGACACAAGTGTGAAACTGCTGTCCAGGCGGAGAGAAGTAATCATGAAAGGTTATTATAAGGAGAAATTATATAGGCAAAGGTGCTGGAGGCAGGTGGCAATGAGACTAGAGAGGTAGAGATGAGTTCAGTTGAGTGATGAAGAAAGTGGGTTAGGTAGGTTTGTGTTCTTGGATGAAAAAGTAAGTGATGTCTCAGATTCAATAGTTTGTCGACTCATTTTACAGAAAGATTGTGGTTTGTGGTTTGTATTTCTGAATTGGCTAGTACCTTGATATTTCATTACTGCACGTCTTAAAAATGTGTTTGTTTTTGTGTCTGACTGAAACCACAGACCCTAAAGATGTATTGTGTAACTTTTCACCTGCTTGTTTCTATGGAGATGTCATTGCTCTGCCTGGAATGTTCCACAGTAGACATTAAACAGCTCTACCTCACATTTATTCAATCGCAGGTGGTTTTATAGCTCAAAAATACCTAGAGAAAACAGGCATTCTGACTGTGAGCGGGGTTGCCTCTCCACAGATCAGACATGTAACTTGGTCTGGATTGGTCTCCATGAAGATAAAAAGGTTTAATACAATACTGTGACACATTCCAGACAAAGCAGTAACATCTACTTGGAGGAAAGTTTGGAGGGAAATTTGACGGACCCTCTACCAAAAAAGTAACACAATGCATCTTTAAAGTTGTACTATGGAACTTTTTGATGGAAATTTGTCATTGTGGAAATGCTATACTGTTCCTCAGTATGCCATCATGTATCTGCTTCTGCATTTATTTAATTACAGATGTTTTTATTGCTGAAAAATCTCAATTCAACCATCCACAGAGCTGATGTGTAACTTGGCATCACCTCTTAGTCTCCATGAAGATAGAGGCTACGTTTATATGATGACGGTCTGAACAGAAGACGCAAAAGTGGCGTTGCATCTTCACCTTTCATCTGCTTTTAGACGAGCATTTTTGAGAGAAAATCTGCATGCATACGGTGACGCAAAAGTGGGTGAAATTCGATTGGGTATGCTTGTACTTAAAGTAACAAGGGCATCTTTGGATATACGGAAGTTTTCACGCCATGAATTTTCATCAGATACTCTTTCCACAAAGTTGTCCCACCATCGACTGGTTCTCCCAGGTCTCGTCCATAGCCGTCTCGCCTGCGACAAACTCGTGCATCCAGAATTTGAGATCCTTCTCTGTTCACTAATAGTATCTCTGCATATTCTGTACATTTGTTGGGACATTTGTTTCTGTGTACTGTATGTATGTGACATAAATGTGTACGTGACCAGAGTTTTGCATCTTGGGCAGTGTAAATGGAAACGCTATGGCAGAGCGTATTCAACTTTTCCACTCTGGAGGGTGGTTTGAGATTTTTGCGTTTTAAAGCCCCAAAACGCCATCACTGTCTAAACGAAAGGCACTTCCGATAAAATATTTTGTTAATTTTACCTGCAAGTGTTCTCATGTAAACAGGCACATTAAATGCCATACTGTGGAACATATCAGGCAAAGATGTCTGTGTAATCCCTCAGTCGTCCAGGTATAATCCATAACAAAAGAAAAATTCTATTCTGTCAACTGGACAAAAGTTTTAGAGTGAAGATATAAGGCAGTGTCCACCAGCGTTTGACCAGAACTGAAGAAGCCACTTGGACGAGCTGTGAAACGTCTTCACTCAAAAACCTTTGGCCAGTTGACAGAATAGAATTTTTCTTTTGCTATATCAGGCAAAGCAATAACATCTCCATGGAAACACAGCAGGTTGTAGATCCTCCACCAGAAAAGTTACATATTGTGCAGTGAAATCCCAGGATACTCGTACAAAGATTTTCAACCTCACTTTCACATTTGTCTTGGTGCTCGTATTTACTGCCTTTATAAAATTTGAACAATGTGAAATACCTCTCCATTTACGAATTCTGCGACAAAACTGTAATTTCTTGTACTTCACTATTAAAACTGTTGTTTGCACAAGTAAATCAATAATAGTAAACAAAAGTGAAGATACCAGGT